TCCCTGCGATCCGAGCGCACATCGAACGGAGAATCAGCAAAGAGTTTGGAGATTGGCTTGTTGAGATCCGTACTGTGAGCCGGAACTTGGGGCAAGTTGCTATCGGACAAGCGTCTGCCGGTAGACAGAGAGAAGAAGAATTACGGATCAGGCAACGGCAAGCCGAGGAGCAGAGTCGCCTGAGCGTGAGGGACACTGTTTATGCTCTCGAAGAAGAAGATGACGACGGTTACTCTATAGGAAACGAAGGTAACGATGTTTATGGGAACGGCGGTAATGTTAATGTCGCTCTAGGTTTTGATCTGACCTCATTGTATAGATCCTACCATATCCATCAAACTCTTGGGCTTGAGGATGGATTCAAAAAGTATTACTTCGAAAACCGGAAACTACAATTAACTTCGGATTTTCAGGTATCTTCCATGACACCTTTTTTAGAATCTCATCAGACGTTTTTCGCTCAGATAGCCGGATTTTTCATAGTTGAAGATCGCGTTTTAAGGACCGGGGGTGGATTGATAACGAAAATGGAAGTAGAAAATCTGTGGGACACTGCTGTTAGCAAAATGTGTTCTGTGTTAGAAGATCAATTTTCTAGGATGCGAACAGCCAATCATTTGTTACTGATCAAGGATTATGTGAGTTTGCTTGGTGTTACTCTGCGGAGGTATGGATACTCAGTTGATGCTTTGCTTGATGTGTTAAACAAGCACAGGGATAAGTACCATGAGTTATTGTTATCAGATTGTCGGAAACAAATTGCTGAAGCTGTTGCTGCAGATAAGTTTGAGCAGATGTGGATGAACAAGGAGTATGAGTATTCTATGAACGTTCTTTCTTTCCAGATACAAACTTCTGACATTGTACCAGCTTTTCCTTACATTGCTCCATTTTCATCCACTGTGCCTGATTGTTGTCGAATTGTGAGGTCCTTCATTGAAGATTCTGTTAGTTTCATGTCTCATGGTGGACAGCTTGATTTCTATGATGTTGTGAAGAAATACTTAGATCGGCTTTTGACTGAAGTCCTGGATGATACCCTTCTAAAGCTTATCAGCAGTTCAATTAGTGGGGTGAATCAAGCAATGGTTGTTGCAGCTAACATGGCTGTTCTTGAACGAGCCTGTGATTTCTTCTTCCGCCATGCTGCAAAGCTTTCTGGGATCCCTCTTAGGATGGTGGAAAGAAGTAGGCGGCAGTTTCCCCTGACCAAAGCACGTGATGCAGCTGAAGAAATGCTGTGTAGCTTGCTTAAAAAGAAAGTTGATGGTTTCATGACATTGATTGAGAATGTGAATTGGATGGTTGATGAGCCACCTCAGAGTGAAAACGAATATGTGAATGAGGTGATCATCTTTCTGGAGACACTTCTTTCCACTGCACAACAGATATTACCTGGTCAGGTCCTGAAACGAGTGTTACAAGATGTTCTTTCCCACATCTCGGAAACAATTGTTAACTTTTTAGTTGGTGAATCTGTGAAAAGGTTCAGTTTGAATGCTGTGATGGGGATTGATCTAGATATCAAATTGTTGGAATCATTTGCTGAAAACCAAGCTTCTCTTGTATCTGAAGAAGAAGCTAATCAGCTGAAGAAAGCACTTGTTGAGGCAAGGCAATTAGTTAATTTGCTTCTCAGCAATAATCCAGAGAATTTTTTGAATCCGGTAATCAGGGAGAGGAGCTATAATGCTTTGGATTACAGAAAAGTAGGGATCATTTCAGAGAAACTAAAGGATCCTTCTGAGCGACTGTTTGGAACTTTTGGATCAAGAGGATACAAGCAAAATCCAAAGAAAAATTCCCTAGACTCTTTAATTAAGAGGCTCAAGGATGTCAACTAACACCCTGTGTCTACTCTACTTGCTTCAAGATTCCCAGGTATCTTTCTCTTTCCCTTATTTCATATAGTTTACTTTTTTTTTTGGAACTTTAGCTTTTCTTACCAGTTGCTTGAACATACCTGATTCTTGTTCTGTATGCAATGGAGAAAAATTCCTTGGCTTTTAACACACTTCTCATTGGAGAATATTCTACAATAGTGATATACTAAATTGTCACTTTTTTTATTAAACTTCATTTTTAGTGCATTTATAACCACTTTGAGGAAAATGAAGGGGTCAACCGGTTGTGCCATCCAATGGGACAATTTATGTCCACCTGGCACTGGCATGGCGCCCACCCACGTGTCATGCAACTGTGGCAATTTGATAAAAATAAAAAAGTAAAAAGTAAACTTTTATCATACATAAATAAATTATTACATATTTTTAGCTTAGATGAGTTGCAGGCTTCTAACTGTTATAGATGTATCATGAACTCAGGTATCACTTGAAGAGATCTCAAGGATTGATGTTGATGCAGATGATGGTTCGGAGTAATTCATATTTGTTGGTTGTGGTTGTGGTTGTGTGATTAATTTTGTTTCTTGGACTAGCCCCAGTATAAAAATGCGCTCATTAATAGGTTGTAAGTAAAGTTAAAAAAAAAAAAAACAGATTTGTGTCAAATTCTTTATTCTTATATGCATCATTAGTAATGAACTAATATCACGAGTTACTTGTCTGTTAAAGTTAAGCTAATTACATGTTTTGCCTATAACTACTTTGTTAACAATAAATGTGCAACTTAGAATCCGACAAATTGCCCACTAGATGCTTCTACGATTACAAAGATGCTCCAAAGGATATGCCTTATGCTTCCAGATAAGTTAATCAATGTCTAGCTGTTTGAGGAGACAACTTTATAACAATTATATATGATTATTGACAAATTACGACTTCTACTGTCTCTCAATCCAGTACATTCTAATTAAACAACAAAATTAATTCAGGGAAACTAACATGACCCATAACATAATTAAAATAGTTTTTGAGAACTTTTATCATTTATGTATTATGTTACTTTGTAAATTTTAAAAAAGGATGCCCACCAGTAATATTTCATTTGCTCTTTGGGTCACCAAGGTTTTGTTTATACTCAACAGACCAATAAACAATCTTTTTGGGTTCTAATTATACCATTGGAATGAATTTCAACCGAATAAACTGATATAATTCTGTGTCGTTCAATGTAGCATTTAATATGACATAAATTGTTCACTTATGTCTGTCTGAAGATGACATGGGGTCTATTGTGACATCAACTAGAACAAAATTGTATTGTTAAAAATCTACTCTAATGATGTAAAGAACCTAAAAAAAGCTTGTGTTGACATGTTGAATCCTATTAAAAGATAAATGACTTGGGAAAACAAACTAGATTATTGATTGTCATTTCGTCATATTAAATGATAGCTTCCAGTTAATTTTGTCAAACATACTTTCAAAACACAAAAATACAAAATAATTTAACTATTCATTTTGTGGATAAGTCGAAAGTGTTATTGGTACAAACACTTGGTATCTATAAGCATTTAGATAAAAGAAAATAAAATGTTTGTCACAGAAAATCATATATCTAATGATTTAAAGAAATAATAATAATATATTTAATTGAGAACAATGTTATTTAACTAAAAAAAATAGAAATAAGATGAATACACGACAGAAGTAACTCTAATTATATGGATGAAGTCGAGACAGAAACGCAAGGAGTTGATGAGACCAAGATGAGGTCAGATCTTCTCTGGCGGATTACCAGTTCATCTCCTCCGCCAACTCGCTTTCTTCTTCTATCATCATTCTTCCTGCTTCTCCACTTAATTTCTTCCACTGCCTCCGACACGCCTACAGCATACGATGAGCTATTGGAGTACGATTTTCCGGTTGGCCTTCTTCCGAAAGGCGTCACAGGCTACGATCTCAACAAAAAGACCGGAGAGTTCAAGGCATACATGAAAGAGACCTGTTCTTTCAAAATTCAGGGCTACGATATCAAGTACAAGTCAAACGATTAGCGGCGTGATAGAGAAAGGGAAGCTGAAAAATCTTAAGGGGATAAACGTCAAAATACTGGTGGTGTGGTTGAACATCGTGGAGGTGACTCATGTCGGCGATCAAATCAATTTCTCAGTCGGAATCCTAGCGGCCGGATTTGAGTTGAGTAATTTTCTGGAATCACCACAGTGTGGTTGTGGATTTGATTGTAATGATATGGTTTCGGGTTCGGATCACAAGTTTTTGATGTCTTCTTAGTGATCTGAGTTTGTCCATGGCTGTGATGGCAAGTGCGCAAATAATTCCAAGGACCAAGTTTGCATCATGAATTGATAATCGTAAATTGTATTTGATTACATGTTTCCCAAATAATTGTGTCAAATTGAACAAATTGTCGTGGAAACCGATGAATTGGCTTCTAAATCCAGAAATTTCAATTGATTAAGTCCCCTGTGAATAATTTGTTGAGGCATAGTTTTTGATCTTTTAAGAAACTGAGTTAATGCACATTGACTGTGTGAGTAGGACTCAAAAGAGGATAAATTGTGTGGGTGAAGGAATATTATTTAGAAAGATAAAGAAACCATGAAATGTTAAGAGAATAGGAGAAAAACAAAACATGTGAGTGCATGTGTGTGAGTAAACTGTGAGAAATCTTGACCATGGAGCCATACCTTTTGCTAATGACATCCAAGAACTCCATACGCCATAATCAAGAACATAGCATGAAGAAAGGTTTCAGGGAGAGAAATCAAAGAAAAGATATTAAAAAATGAGGAACCAGTCTTGAATCAAGACATAAAGAAAGAATCCAGATAAGGAGATGCAATCATTGACCACATTATGTAGAAGATGTGTTCCATCGAAGAAATGAAGTCGATGATGATTGTTGTGAGTGCTCTTTAATTGAAAAAGAAAGGGGATTATGGTAATTGAAACACCCTTGCTAGGATAGTTTGAAATACAATTTAAAAACCATTTGATTTTTAATAAAACCAATTGAAAGTTTTAATTGCTGAAAATCATATAGTCTCATAGTTTAAAATAAAATTTAAAAATACTTTAATATATTTTTGCGCGGAATTAGATCCGTTCGTACCAAAATATAGAGTTTTGGTTAAAAGCGCGAGATAATAATCAATTTAACAATTGTCACAAGTTCAAATGCAACTTCACAAATCGAGGCCTTTAAAATATTCTCGCTATCTTCTAATCAACTCCTAAATCTTCAACCAGAACACAAGTCAAAATAAGTTGGACAATGAAATTGTCTAATTAGAATACATGAGATTGACTAATTTTAAGCAAGAGATAGCAACCACAATGGTATAGAATACTAAGCCTCAAGTAATCAAGACAAAAAAGTATATGCAGCCGTATCAAAGGCGTGTTCGGTACACAGCTTTTAGGAGCTTCTGACTTCTAGCTTTTAAGGAAACGCTAGTAAAAATAAAAAGTCTCGTTCGGCGACAAGATCATTTAGCTTTTAGGCTAAACAAAACGTTCCAAAATCAAAAGCTACATGGAGTAGCTTTCAACAAAACGCTCCAAATCAAAAGCTACCCGCTACCTGCTACCAGCCACCCGTTACCCGCCACCTGCTACCAGCTAGTTTTGCCGAACACGCCCCAAATCTAAGGATGTATAATCTGTAAACCAAAATCAAGAATTTAGTAACTGGTAAATTCTACCTAAAGAAAGTAATAAAAAATTCCAGCAACTAGGGTTTAATAACCCACAATCTATAACAAGAGAACAAGTATTCCATAGTTTAAAGCAAATGGATAATTAATCATGCAAAATATTTTAAAGGATTTACATGCAAAAAATAGAAAAATAGAGTTTTGAATAAAACTTTCTAATAGTTGTTATATTCCATTTTGTACCACGTTTTTTTCTCCTTTTTCGCTTGTTGGATTACAAATATTATTCTACAAAAAGCAACCAACATCCATTACTCCATGCAAGTCTTCAAAATTAAACATCATCATATCTCCCATTCTCCAACTCTCAAATGTCTTCTCCGGCGTCAATACTCCCTTTTCTCCTCCTCCCCCTTCTCCTTTTCACCTCCACCGCCATTGCAGTCGTCGAGACGCCCACCGTGTACGAGGCTCTGCAAGACTACGATTTTCCGGTAGGTCTGCTTCCGACAGGCGTAACATCATACACCCTGAACAAAGATACCGGAGAATTCGAGGTCAAACTTAGTGATACATGTGAATTCTCCGTCTCCGGCTACGATCTGAAATACAAATCAACGATCAGTGGAGTGATCAGTAAAGACAAACTGACGAAGTTGAAAGGGGTTAGTGTAAAAGTAATTATTATATGGGTGGATATAGTGGAGGTTACTCGAGATAGCGATGACCTGGATTTCTCCGTCGGAATATTGTCAGCTGGATTCGACGTTGATCAATTTGAGGAGTCGCCGGAGTGTGGTTGTGGGTTTGATTGCGATAGTTTAGAAAGTAATTAATGGTGAGAAGATGAATATGAAATATCGAAATTGCCGACGAATCTTTTGGATTGGTCACTGTAAAGTGTAAACGCTCAAGAATTAAGGAAGGGTGCATGGAGAGGGTTAAAAATAAGGGGTTGGCTAAATCGACATCTCATTTTACCATTTAGACATCCTATATAATTTTTTACAAAATAAGTGATTTTATTTGATGTCGATCTTTTCTAAAAAATAATTTCGGATTTAATGTATATACTCTAGATTTCGACCTCTGTTTACATGCATGTTTTTCATAATTTTTTTAACAATTTAATTTAATTTAATTTTATATTTTTTACTCACCATTCTTATTTTTAAGACCGAATATTGTAATCTTTTAATACAAAACAGTAAGCTTATAAGATTTTAGGTGATATTATATTTATTTATAAAACCATTTTTTTTTGTAAAAAAACTTGAATTAATAAAATTTCATTCATAAGTACGTGCTTAAAGAAATGATGGTTAAAAATAGAGTGGCCACATGAGTTTTGTGTGACAACTAACAAGAAAGTCCCACTGAAACTAAAGAGAAAATTTTATAGGATGACTATAAAACATGATTTGATGTATGGATCTGAATGTTGGTCGATTAAGAAGGAGCACGAGAGGAAGATGGAGGTAGCTGAAATAAGGATGTTGCGATGAACTTGTGGTACGACACTATTGGACATGATCCCACGCACAACAATTAGGAATTCGCTCAAAGTAGCTTCAATCATTGAAAAATTAAGGGATACAACATTGTGGTGGTTCAGACATGTATGTAGGCGACAACCTCTGTTAGGAGGATGGATGCACTCAATGTTAAGGGTGTGAGGAGAAGAGGAAGACCAAGAAGAAAATTGGAAGATAGTATGAGGATATACTTGAAAATGTTACCTTTTACCAAGGACATGATCTTAGGAAGGAGTAGAGGCGTAAAATTAGGATAGTTGAGTTGTATAGTAGGATATTGACTAACTTCTTTTTTGTTCACTTACCGCCCAGTTTCACATCTCTTTAGTTTCACATCTCTTTCAGTGTTGTTTCCGTCAACCTTTGTTGCTAGTTTTTTGCTTTATGCTTTTTATGTTGCGTACGCCCTCGATATGAGTGTTTCTATGCATTGTCCCCGATGCTTGCTTTTGCCACCTCTACATGAAAATTTGTGGTCGCTTTCTTTGTCACATTAGTAATAATTTCATCTCTTTCCTCTTAATATTCTTTATAGTGGCTAATTTTTCATATTGCTGAAAATTCAATGCACATATTATGATCTAGACGAATAAACAAAACAAATTTTATTTTACTTAATTTTATTATTTATTTAACATATTTTTATGACGGTGGTCATGGTCAAAAGCAGATGGGCACTGCCTATTTTATACATAATACATTCAAAATTATAAGAGAGAGGATGTTGAATCCAAAGTACATGAGTCGGTTCAAATTCTAACCCTCATCCCACATACTAAAAAACCATTAACCCAACAACCTTAGCCCTGATCATAAAAAATAAAAAAGGACCATTTGGTACTACCATTTAAATGAAACACAACTCAGTTTAGAAGTCAAAAAAGAACAAAGATGAAGGATGAATTTACTTTGTTACCTTCTTTTCCGATAAGAAAAGTTCATGTAGATAAGGAGAAAGTGAGATAACATAAGCACTTTGTTGGTGTTCTATACAAGCCCAAATTACAAAATTAAGAAAAAGTGAAGGATATAGAGAAGATACATGGAAAAGAAGGAAAAAATAAAACCCCTAATCTCATATCTACCTATCTACCTGAAGCATACCGAAAATATATGATTCAAGGTCTAAATATACAAAATTTCATCTATGTACCAAATTTTCACAGTACCAAATAACAAAATCAAACCCACATAAGTAAAAATAACCTAAAATTGAGAAAAAAATCGTCAATAATAAGTAAGAATAAAAGCATTATTTTGTAAAATATCAAAACATCTACCATCGATAAAAAAAACAAGAACTTAACCTTGCCCTATTTACCTTAAAAAGTCGAAGTCCTTAGCGCAAGAAACTCTATTTGACCAAACTCTTCATATATACAGGTTTTGTTAGTTGCGATGAATGGTGGTGATGGTGGTTTGACTGAATTCTTCATCTTCAATCACGCTGAGATGAATGCCATTTTTTTGGAACCATTGATGTCTTCCTTCTCCCACTTCAATTTTTTAATACTACATTATTAAATGATTTTATAGAGGAAAGGGATTTGAATGAGTTTCCCATATTTTAAGCAAAAAGTTGGGAAAATGGTGATCTGAATTAGTCTTCATATGAATGACACGTTCTTATCTATTAGTCTTCATATTGAATGACTATGTTCTTATCTATTTTTGTTAACCAAATAAGATTTCAATGCATAAAATGGTTGTATATGTTGCAATAAATCTTGTACCTCTTAAAATCCAGCTTTTTACCAAATTAATAAGAAGTATATATATATATATATATATATATATATATATATATATATATAGTTATAAATTTGATGTAATTAAAAGTAA